ATTCCATTTCGAGCAAGGCTGGATGTCTGTGAAGAAAACCGTTGATACCGGTGGTATTTGCACATAATGGTTGCTGAGTGTTGTCTAATTGACCGTGCGATTCGTTGTAACAGTTATGTGCTAGAGCAGTCATTACCCAACCTGTGAGTATGAGAACGTAAAACAAATAGAAGACTAGCCTGCCCACATAATACTTTCGGATCTTCTGCCATTTTAAGTGGAGAAACGCCTGGCAGAGTGGATGTTCCAAAATCTCTTTGTATCCTTCCTTCACAAAGGTTCCTAGGTATCTTATTTCGCCTTGTTGCTGATGCATCAGCAAAGGATGAAAGTCGAGACGGAGCTCCGCCTCTCCGGTTGCAGATCCATGTTGATGAAGTGTTATCGAGGCGTCTAATCTCTGTTTAAAGACGTTCAACGAAGTCGGCGTTTTACGTAAGATAATAGATAATGCGCTGGTCCCGCCTTTCGTCCTAGCGCTAAGATCTGCTCCATGTTGGATCAAGATATCTACACACTGGGACAATTCATTTAAAGCAGCGATATGAAGCGGTGTATAACCGTATTTGTCAGTTTTGTTCACATTTGCTTTCCATGTAATCAAAAATTCAGTTACATCATAAGCCAATAAGGATCTACCTAAGGCGAGATGTAAAGGTGTTCTTCCATCGCTGTCTTCTATGTTAGGGTCACAGCCACCTTTCTTCAATAATATTTCTACGCATTCCAAAGAATGAGAACGAGAAGCTATATGCAAGGCCGTTTGGTCTCTGTGATTTTTTAAATGAACGTTTGCACCTCTTTCTACCAGTAAATCCACATTTTCTACGCAGCTACCTTCCGCTGCAAGATGCAGAGCAGTGTCACCTTTCTTGGTCATTAAATCTAACTCGCAACCTGCATCTAGCAGTATCATCAAACAAGTTGGATCTCCTCTGTCTGCTACATGATGTATAGCAGCGTATCCATTACAATCTAAATTATTCAAAGTAAGATTATGAGTTGCCAGTAACTTCAACACATTATATGCATTCGATCTGGCTGCAGTATGTAACACGGTTTCTTCTCCACAAGGAGATTCTTGTTTGATTCCTATCTGAAGGAAATATTGAGCTACTTTACAAGCATTACCGAAAGCAGCATAATGAAAGGGTGTATGAGTTCGTTCCAAATGAATATTAGCTCCGTTAGCTAGCAAATACTGTACACCTTCCAAAGAATTACTAAACGCGCACAAGTGCAGCGGAGTTAGGCCTTGTCCTTGTTCAGAATGATTCAAATCTGCTCCACACTTGTACAAATCCATAATTACTTCCACTCTACCAAGGAAGCTAGCGTGAAGTAATAACGCGTTTGCTTCGTGTTGTTTATAAAACTTTACAAAATGTTCGACATTCTTTAGACTTAGTTTATTCTCCTCCAGATCGTCTAGTAGTTGCAAACGTCCACCAACGTGTCTCATGTGTTCCACTAAAAGATTCCTAATGATGTCTCTATTGACCTGTAATGTACAATTAATTTCTTCAGTGCAGGAGCTTTCGCTGGGACACATAGAGTAACAGTGTGGTTCTTCTATGGGTGGTGGTGACCCGTATTCCAAATTACGATCAGACCAATTTGTTTCTGTTTCTGTATGTGGCGGACTCTTCGACGCCAGCCATCGTGTTAAGAGTAAAGAAGTCATGGTCGTACGCTTTGGAGTATTCGAAACGGATACCGTTACGTCCTCCATGTCGACGACCCTCTCCATTTGTACTTTCTTTTTTGCTGGTGGCGAGTTCGAGGTCTGCGAATGGTTGTTCTCCATCCTTCTTGGCAAGCGCTTTACGCGATTACATCATCGATCTACAAAGAGCATTGTCGTAAGTAGCAAATGCACGTGAAGGAGTTCACAAGATATTATTTCATTAATGAACTCGATGAGGTTTCGTTAACGTGTATTGAGTGGAAAATTATATGACGTCGTTTTACTTAATTGATCGATTTATCAAAAAGTGAATTTGTCAGATTCGTGATTCGTACATTAAGAGATTATCAGTCGTGTTTTGGATCGTTTGAGGATCCTTTGAGAAAAATTCGGTTTCTAAACAAAATTTGAATTTTGATTTAAGCACTCGCAATATGTTTCTTATTGCGGTTTAAAAGTCAAGAGTCATCCTTTGATTTTGGCGATAGCCAGTAATTCATTGCTATAATTTATACTAGAAACTTATATAAATAACCTCGCATAAATTCTTGTGGTCCATACGTTTCTATTAAATCATGTAAATAATTATATCTTATTTAATTAAAATATGAAATAGATATTATAATTTTACAAAAGTAATATAACTTAATAATATCTTAAGATACGTCATATATTCGTTTTAGTAACTATAGTGTTATATAGCAAATGTTAAATGTAATATCATGATTTCAAACACAATTTGTTTCAATTATGTTATTAAGAGGCTTACCACACTTAACACACATAGAAAACTTGCGAATGTATACGGTATAAGTATAAAAATGATTAACATTTTAATGGAACATAATCATTGAGATAAAATTGATTTAATTTTTAAATATTTCTCAAAGTTTTGATTTAATAATATTATCAACAAACTATAAGACGATCTTTGATGACGCCTGACTCAGTATCATGCGAGACGCAAATGTCAATTGGAAAATCGGACACATACAGTGATAACTATGAAGTATTGTACCGTTACCTTTAAATTGATATTATTTATATACAGTTCGAGTCCTTCACGTATTGAAGACAAGAACATTCTTGACATACTGATTCGATTCTCAAAACATATTAAAAGTATAGGAAATGACGTTTACATATATCTTGTCCTCTTAAAGGATTAGAATCTGTGTAGTTTTTTTTTGATCAAATTAAAAAAAATCTATACTGTAGAGAAAATTATTTGGAAATATTGAACGGAATAAAAAAACAATTTTTAAGATTGAAAAAATAACGAATTATGTAAATTAATATATTTAACAGTAAGCATATTATCTTATCTTCAATTTTATCGTCACATATAATTAAAGTATAAATTTCTTCAAAGCATTAATTATATTTATTGAAATACTAGTTTATATAGACTAATTAAATTCTTCAAAAAAATTTAAATTAACTTGAACTGAAATATTTACATTCAAGTTAAAGATCTAATTCAATTTAGCGATAATTTCTTTTTATTCTGTTAAAGCGTGTTGTTGTTCCAATGTTATAAAGAAAAGAATACTAATAAATATGTTACCAAACGTCATTAAAAATTAAATTGCAATTACTGAATATTTGTTTATTTCGTCGTTGCGTTGACTTGCGTTGACAAGACTTCGTTGCATTTATTATGTTTAAAATTAAATTCCGTTTGTATGTACATGTGGTCTAAACATCTGCACTGTTTATGTACAACTTTCATTGTTCGAAATTAAATCTGTACACTTTAGATATTTAAAATTCCTTTTCGTAGCTTACACAAACAATTATTCCACCATAAAATTCATAGGATGACTCTCTGATTTAAAAAAAAAAAAAAAAAAAAAAAAAAAACATTTTCCGATTTTTCATCCAAACGCGATTAGATGTTCAATGTAAAACGACAATTTTTCCAACTTTGGCTCTTTACCGATATCTTGAAAATGTTGACAAAAATCGATCACCAACGTTCTTCCACATATGAATCCGATCAAACGAACGATTCGTACTGTTTAACGTGTCGATGTTATGATTAAAACATCACGAGCCTATCGTTCCATCGGGCGACTCGATTAATACTGAGCTCCAATCGAGCTTCTTGTACGCATTGTCTGTCCTGAGATCGCGGAGAGTATGATAAATCACATACACCAGAAACATCAACAATTCACATGGCCTCGTTTTATTTCCATTTGTACAGATTGTCTGTGCCTCTAGTTTATTTTGAATTCATAAGCTTTATTAAAACATTTCATAAAATTTTAATATCATTAATTGTTTAAAAATCCGAAATATCTTCTTTTATTAATCATTTAGATATCTTGTAGGAACTTGTATATTTTTTCTTTGTTATAAGTAAAACAAAGCACAAAAATAACATAACATTATGATAATAAAATATTTTAAATTTCATTTTCAAATTATGTATTGAGTGCAATATTTTTATGTATTCATTTTAAATGTAAAGTTCTTTTGAAGACAACTTCTTTGAAGATAATCTCTCTCAACGAAGATAATATACTGATTATATGTTCACCTTCTCTCATCCATAACATTTCTTTTTAGATTATTTTGTGTAATAAATTGTGTAATAAGATGTAATTATATCACACAAAATTAAAAACCGCTTTAAAATGGTCATTGATTTAAATAAAATATTAAAAAATATTATTAGAAAATTTAATATTTGTTTTTAACAGAAAAACTAATTCGAAATTTTTACAAATTTAATCGAAATTTCAATTTAAAATTCTACTAATTTCAATAAAGTTTTTATTATGTCTACTCATATCATATATATAAATATAATATAATATACGATATAATATATCGTATAAATTAATGTGAAAAAATAATTAAATTAACAAAAAATTTTCTTTAAAAATATAATAAACCATTGTAAATATATCCACGGTAAATAGTTATACATAATTATCATTCTAGATAAAATTCGATTAGAAATTTATACATTATTATTTAAAATTAATAAATTGATTTGATATTCTGTAACATAATACTTACCTTGATGTAAAAAAACAATATTAATTCATATTAATGTTTAGAAGACTTACCCATTTTTTAATTAAAATTAATTTACTATATATTATAATTCTTGTACCAGTGCTTATTTCTAATATTTCTTTAAATGATTTTGTAATGAAATTTTGATTATTTGAACGTGAAATAAATAAATATAAATTAATTACATGTAAAAACATGAATAGTTACTTAATAGTATTTTAACAGTAAGTAATTATCACATTTTAGAAACCAAAATTATTTAAACCGTCTTTTTTTAACTTACTTGTTCACGACATTGCATGTCTTTAAAATATGTGATATCCTGTCCATTTATAACAATATTTCCAGATCCATTACCTATCACCTTAACTTGGCCCCTTGCATTTTTTCTTGCACACCCTACAAAAATATTATAATTTATTAAATTTAATATATAATTAAATTAGTAATAAAGAAAAATATTCAAATAATAAGTTCAATAATAAATAAATAGATTGTTTTTTTGTATTAAAAATAGTAAACATCCTTATTTCTAAAAATAATAGTTCACACGGTTACAATTTTAGTATAAGTATAATACTATTAGTTTATTTTATACTTACTCTCAACAAGAACAAAAGGTCTCTTTTCACTGTCATAGTCAGGCTATAACCAAATAAGATGTATAATTATTTTCAGTAAAAAAATAAATAAAAAATAAATGAAAGGATAAAAAGTATTTAACATGTACATACTTTTGGAATGTTTGCAGTTTCATCAATATTAGGTAACATTGTTCTATATTTCATGATAAAAGATTCTGCATACTTTGATAGCGGATGGACAAGTAATTTAGATATACTTTTTATAAAGTAGATATACTAAAATAAATTAAAAAATTGAATAAATCTACAAAGTCATATTACATCTATAAAACAGAAATAAGAACATTATATTTGATATATTACTTCTGTTTGTGACAAGTCTTCATGCGTTAAACTTTCCAATTTATTTTTAGATATCCATATTGAATCAGACAAAGTTCTGAAATAATAATAATTAGAAAAAATATAAATACAAATATAAAATTATTATTTGTATGCAATTTAGAATCAGTTAAATTTATATATATAGTCAATAGAATTACAACTTACAATTTTTCTGCTGTTGAGAATGATAAATTAAGTTTCCTTTTCTCATCTTCCATTTTATTTAAATCATTTAATGATGCCATAATGTTCTGTATGTAACAAAATTTCAATAAAGAATATTGTTTCTATACAATTATATACAATATATAAAAAAGAGATTAAAAATACATACATGAAGTATTTCATAATAATTTGGTTTAGTTGTATAATATAAGAAATGAAGTGGTCTACCACTTTCATCAAATTCTGCTTCCTTTCTTTTTATAATTGTTTTTTCAGGATTTTGCATCATAGGGCGTGCTCCTATATTATATAAGCCAGACGGAAACAAGTAATTAATTGCATCCTGTCAACAGTAAAAAATCTTATACAAATTGAAATTTTATTACAAAGTGATAAATAAATTTAAAGACAAATCAAGTTTTTGTTTTATTTCTTTCTTATTTGTAATATACAATGTAAAATAATTAATGATGTTTGATCTTCATTAATTAAAAACATGTATACTTCAATTAACTTTAAGCTTAATAAATAAATTATTAATTATACTAATAGAAAATATTGTATAATTTACATTAATATCTCGTTCCGTAAAGTTATTAACATCTTTACCCATTATATTGGCTAAATGTCGTTTCCCAATATTATATTTGGCTATTTCTTCATTCATAGACTTGTCTAAAATAAATAATTAATTACAATTTAATTTATAATTGTCAATTGTATAAATTAATCTGAAGTATATGGAAAGATTTAATGTAAAATTTTTTAATTCTTTCTCTTGTAACGTATTTATAACTTACTGTAGTCTACAAATCGTTGAAAATATAATTTCATAGCTTTGGACATTCTTTTTTCGGGCTCATTTGTAGAAGTAGAAGAAATAATTTCATGATTGATATCTGTAGAATATGATTTAGAAATAACATTCTAAAATCATGAAATTTGTATTACTATTTAACGTTAGTTATTTTTGAGGTTATAACTGAGATTCTAAAACTACTTGTTAAAATAATTAATTAATATTTTAATGTTGATTTACCGAATGTTGTATAATATTTAATGCGTTTCCAACCACACCAAAATTATTAAAATTCGTTACATTTCGTACATTTATAAAACGAGTCAACGTTAATACAGCCATTTTCATTGATTAATGACTAAAGTTGGTCTAACTGAATAATTTTCATATCTTAAAAAGATATGAATTTGATAATAATATCAGTCTTTCAGTTATTTTTAAAAAATGTTATATTTTATAAATTAACTATTACAATTATTTCGCTTTTATCACTTCATACTATTATTATTGGAATCATTGAAAAGTAGATGTTTGTAGAACATGTCATACATATTTAAAATTATATTTTTGTAACGTACTTTAATTTTTACAGATATTTAATTACAAAATAATTAATTCGATACAAATAAATTAAAATATTTAATAATCAAACTAATTTTTATACTAATATTCAAAATGTAATATAAAATTATATTGTATATTCTTGATAAAGATTTTGCAAAATATATTGCATATTATTAAAAACTAATTGTTCTATCTATATTTATAGTAGTTATTATTTCTAATATTTTTAAATTTAAAAGGAATAAGTATACAAATGTTATAAATATTTGCAAAAACATTTTGAACTGAGAGATAATTACTATGGTATTATCAAATAATAACTTCTATATTAAATAAAAATTGAAACATTGCACAATTTAAAATATATATTCTTATATTTAACTATGAAACAATAAAGTACTAGATGTATATGTATAAAAATTGAGATCACTTTTTGTTATTTATAAATAATAACTTTAAATGTATATAAATTTATATGTACATAATTATATTAATATATGATACCAATTATATATATTATTTATATAAGAACAATTAGTGTAATTGAAAATATTGAAAGTTTCTATGCAATATAATTATCTTTTAATAATTTAATTAGTTATTTTAATAATGAAATAAAATTATTAAAATCATTATATTGAAAAATGTTTCCTTCATTATTGTAAAGTTTAATTCAAAGTTTTTTGTCATTATTCTTCAGTCTTTAAAGTAACACTAGTTTATTACATTGTTTTATTTTTCAAGTAAAAATTTATATTTTACGGGAATTGTACATTTTATTAATTTTATTTTAGAAACGTAAATAGAAAAAGTTATCAACAATATTTGTACAATATTTTGATTTATAAGAAAAATGTAAAAATATAAAATAAGAACTTAGTATAAAAACATCATAAAAAAAATATAAAATCTCGTGTGTAAATTACGTTTAATGGTAACTGCAAAGTACATAAAAATAATAAAAATGTAATAAAAATAGATTAACAAGATTATTATGTACAATACATAGTATCATGTAAATATAAGAATATGAACACTTGTTTATTACTAACATTAATTTAATTCTAATTCTGGTAAATATGGTTCTGTAATTCCCATAATTGGACAAATGCTTAAAGTTTCCTAAAAATATAAGATAGAATAATCAGGACAAGAAATACAAAATATTTTATTCTTACATATTTAGTGGAAAACAAAGTAAATTAAATTACCAATCTCGTTAATTCTGCAAATGATGGTCTTTCCTGGCTTTCCATACTCCAACAAGATGACATAACTTCATATAATGGATCAGGAATATCTGGTAGTTGTGGTAATATAATTCCTTGCTCAATTGCTTCTTCCACTTCACTGTCAAGTGAAAAATTAGAATATGGTGTACCACCCATACTAAGCATTTCCCACAAAAGTACACCAAAAGCCCAGACTACTGCTGATTGGTGCTTTTTCTTATTGCCAAGACATTCAATAGACGTCCACCGCGTATATTTTATATCTTCTAAAGCATATTTGGATATTCCATGACCCATTAATTTGGGTATCCATTGATTTGAAAGACCTACACTACGTGCACAAAGATGTTCATGCACAATTTTGTAATTTTCAAGATGATGTAAAGCAGATGCTATCATTGATCCTATAGGTAAAATTTGTTCAATAGGAAATATATTTCCAGATCTGGCAGCTAATAGACAAGTTTTTAATGTTTGAGGTGGCAATTCAAGTACAATATGTAATGTATCATGTGTTTCACATGTTCCTACAAGGTCGGCAAGATACTTCATAGGAGATGCTTTAATACAAATATCTAATTCTCGTAACATATGCCTTTTATCAGATGCTTTTAATAATTTATCAGCTATATTATGAATTGCTACTGTAGTGGATTTGTTATTTTTCTCAACAACACCTGTGTGTACTGTACCAAATCGTCCTCTACGTATTACAGTATCATTAATTATCAGTAAGTTTTGTGGTATAATCCACACCTTTTTTTTCAATTCTTGATAATGATTTACCCTTTCAGGTACATCTTCTGGAATATATGCTAAATTGTCAACTTCGTACAATGGCCCTTGTAATGTAAGTTCTTGCTGTTCTGGTAGTTCTCTCATTCGAAATTTTTCATAGCGTCGTCGTAATATAAAATACAATACTATCGAAGCGATGAGTAATGTTCCCAAAAGACCATTAGCAACACAAAGTATGATTGTTGTTAAAGTCACGTTATCATTTTCATTTTCATTATAACTTGTCAATCTATTAATTAAATCTGAATAAGCATACTGCACTTGCCTTTGAAATTTAGAAATTACCGTTAAACCTATTTGTGGCATTGTTTGAGTATTCAATGGAGCATTGTAATATGTACCAACCATTTTTCCATTTCCCACTATAAATTTTTTATATTTGTAAAATTCTGAAGATTCAAATTCTCCAGTAATATAATATCCCAAACCTTGTTGCACTGATGTTTCATAATTGTAGTAGGTTACATTGGGACCTGATGGAGGTATTATACCAAGTTGACAAACAAATATTTGGTAAGCACTAACTGGGCCATATTCACTACTTCCTTCTGATAATAAAACAGTTACAGTATCAGTTGTTTGTTCTATTATTTTTGGCATTATTGGTTTATTAGGTGGACCTATTAAAGTCCATCCCAAAATATAGATAGGTTCACTATCTGCTTGAGTATTTGTAGCAGTAATTGATACATTATACTTTGTGCCTGGTTGTAAACCTTGTAAAATAGTATTCTTTGAAGTTCCTCCTTGTATTTGACTTTCTACAGCTGGTATTAAATTTAAAGTAAACGTTTGAACAACCACTGCTTTTAAAGTATAATGTGTAATATTTCCATTGCTAATGTCGGGTGGTTCCCATGTAATTTGCAAGCTATTTAATCCACTATGAATTATTTCGACGGTTCTTGGTGGACTAGGACCTGTATATGTATTTTTAAGTTTATAAATATTTAAAATAGAATAAAAATATCGTAAATTTTTAAACGATATACCTGTTTGTCCAGTTGAATAAATACTCACTGCATCTTGACTACCACAATAATTATTTGGATCAGCAATGCAAAGCACAGTACAGGAAGTTGATACACCTTTTCTACCATATGTACTACCACAAAAGCAATGCTGACCATTCATTAAACCAGCAAACCTATTAATATTAATTTCACTTTTAATTAAAAGATATTAAATATTATAACATTTGTAATAAATAATACAATAATAACTTACATATAATAACGGGAACGACATTCTTTGATACATTCTGTTGGTGTATTAGCACGATTTAATATCAGGGTTGGTAAATCAGGATCTAATGTAGAACTTTTGAAACAACCCTCGTATTTTTGAGTAAGTACATGATCACAAAAATAAAAAAGCAAAGATAAAATTATCATTATATATTATAAAGTTTAATAATACAATTTTTACAGTTTAGTTTTTTAATTAGTTATGCAACTAATTGTAAGTAAAAATTATTAATGTAACATTCTTTCGAAATAGTGTAGATCTGAATCAATAAGTTAATGACATATTTAAAATGAACAAATGAGGTTAACCATGCACAGAATTTTATTCTTTTCGATTATTAAAGTAAAACAATATTGTAATCCAATCTTTATCATTTTTATTATCATTAAAACTGTCTATGAATCTTTATGTTGATTGAGACAATAATGTTCACACAAAACTTCACGGGTGTAGTAGCATCTATTTACTACCTGTAATCATTAGTATGATTAAATCTTCATTCACTTGTGGCGCTGGTAATATTTAAAATCATATAATTTTTTGTTATTAAGTATAATCAATTATATATATTATTCTTTTTAATATCAAAGATATAATATTTGACCAAAAAATGAATCAATATTTTATCTTATTATTAGTTAATATTTTTAATAAATAATTGTTAGTAAAAGTAATTGTTAGTGAAAGGTAATTAAAAAACATTAGTCAAAAAATTTATTTTATTTATTTTGTTTTATATTTTTCCAAATATACAATAATATATAAAATGTATGATAACATATACATGTAAGTAATTCTATACCTGGTACATATGCATTATTCTTGTTATTTATTCGATATTTCCTTATATCACTATTGTTTATTTGATTGTAATAATGTAATATAAATTAGCAAGTAAATTCTATTATGTCCTCTTTCTATTAACTTTATTAACAATACTTTAAGAATCTTATGCAGTGCTGTTAATATTTATGTATTGTTTGTTTAATATAATAAATATGTAATTATATATTCTATAAATAAATTAAAATAATATTTATGAAAATAAAAAAGCTCATATCAGGTATCTTATATTAATGAAATATAATAAACCAGAAATACGGTAAAATATTAGTATTATAGAAAAGATTACAAATGCATATGTATTTATTTAATTACAATACATTTTTAAGTCTTTAACAACACTGCTTTTCTGGCACAGGTACACATAACTTAAAAAAATACAAATTAGTTATCACAAATTTACTGTAAATAAATTGTTGCTTCCATCTATACATGGCTCTTATAATATAACTATATACAATGATGGGTTGTGTTTTGAGTAACAATGTTATGTAAATATTAGATCTGAATGAATACAAATTAGTTTAAATTACATTAAAATGACATGAGATAATATTATATGGTGTATTGTAATATATTAGAAGCATAAATGTGTATTTTTTAGTTATATAATGTCATATATAAAATCTAGAACTAAATTAAAATATTAGTCGTTTTATTTATGCTACACACGCATTTTTGTTGATATATTGTAATCATAATAACAAACGTAATCTGTCGTTTTTTAGTCATATGTAAGCACTTAATGGCTTAATACTGGTCTGTTCAGAAATAATAACAGTTTATGGGTGTATTATTTTTACCTATATTTCACTACTATTAATTCTATTACTTCAAAGTATACTACAACTTTATTTATATTATGGACACTATTAATGGTTTTTGTTTGAATATATATATATACATATACACACGCGCGCGCGCTCCCTCCTACACATACATATATACATGTGTATATATATATATTTTTTTAAAGAAAATTATTTAAATAATTGTTACTAATATATCAAATTCCATGAGAAATTCTTATAAGAATAAGTGATTTCCTAGTCATACAATTAGAATATTCTATTATCAATGTACAGATGTAACAAAATATTTACTCACAATCACATGAGGACAAAATATTGATGACTTGCAAAATAACCATAATAATAATAATAAAAAAAAAATATTGAATAAAATTTAAACACTTTAAAAATCATACACTATTTTAAAAATTAACTTAATTAAACAACTTAATAAAATGTATCTTAAATGTAATATTCAGATCACTTGTTTACTATGACATTAAATTACATATTCTATATATGCAGAATTAGTGATTTTCCATTATTGTGTCTATTAGCAAGTCTTACTTCACTTACATTGAAATTATGTTTTTAAGAGGAAGCAATGTGATTTCTCTAATTATCAGCTGAACTGTTTATAATTATTTGTTCATTATACAGTTACTAAAAAAAAATCTTATATTAATTATACAGTTTGTTAAACAACAACTCATGATAATAAAGCAGTCTTACAAAAGTTAGTGTACTAAGTACACCTGAGGCATTCCTAATAAATGAAATTTTGTCCTTTAAACAGGAGTTTAATCAAGAGTATATTCTTACAAAATCTAAATAAACTAATAGGAAATAATACTTAATTATACATCCATTATTTAGATAACTTGTTGGTGATTCCATTGTCCAAGGAATGAAGATGTGTAATATTTAGAGATACTTATGTCGATGGAGCTTTTCTTCTTTTGTTGCTTTGTATTTGTTTGTAAGATTTCTTGTTTCCAAGTCCTAATGAAATAATGATTTAATTAAAGCACTATAGTTGATGATATGTTTCAGTAACATTTCAAAAAAATATATATATAGAAAAAGAAAAAAAAAATCTTACGTTTTAATTTAGCTACTCGGGAACGTGTCAAACGCGGAGAAGATTTAGCTAAAGAAAGTGTTGTTAAAGAAGGTTTCCCTTTTAATTGAACTATTTGTTCCATAGCTGGTGTCATCGATTTCGTTTTAAGATCTCTATTTACAAAAAAGATACAGTTTTTATCTTATATTTATATTATATCTGGTAAATTAAATTATAATACTTACTCTAATGATTTTGGTATCGATTTTGTTCGAAATGCGCCTGATTGTTTTTCTTTCATTTTTTGAATTACGCTTAACATAGCATATGTAGGCAAGGATGGAGGAGGAGGAGGAGATGGAGGAGGTGTAAGTGGCGAAGGTGGAGTTTGTAGACTAATTTTTGCGAGTTTATCAGGATGGAGCGCTAACACTGCTTCCCAACAAAATTTTTTTCGTTCAACTGGATATTTGGGTTGTGTATTTCGCGTTACGCGTATCTAAAAATAATAATGTTTATTGTTTCACAATGAAATAAAATTAAATATTAATAACAGATGTAAAAAACGATACCTCGCCATTAACGGGTTTACAAGGTTTCCTTTCTCGTAAGTATGGTCGTTTGAAAGACATGGGATAAGAAATATTTTCATTAGATTCTCTTATACGATGTAAACATGTAGGAACATCATTCTTTTGCTTAGATCCATATTGAAATAAACTACGTAGGTAGGAATAATTAGGTTTAGTTTCAAATCCCATTTCAGTAACATATTTCATGTATTCCATAATGGCAGCTGTTAAAAAATATTGAATTATTAATACTTATTTTCAAAACATTCTTTTATATAAACCATAAAAAAATAGTAAAATATGTTTACATTATTCTTTTTACTTAAGTAAAATTAAATTTAGAAATAGATTTCACAGTTATATATAAAATTTAATAACTTACTCGGGGTTTCTTTTTTGTAAGGAAAACATTTATCCATAAATAAAGGTAAATTTGAAAGTAAAATTTCTTTTTGTGCATGCACTTCTTCTGGATCCATAGTAGAAGTTGCACTATCATTTTCCTTTTGCCAAGGTAATTTACCACATAACCATTGCAAAATATTATACCCTAATGTTTCTAAATCTCCTCTTCTTGAATGTGCTGTAATAATATTAATTTACAGTGAAATAAAACATAATGTTACATAACATAATGATCTAAAATATATGTATTAAATCTACAAAACTTACTTCCATGATGTGCATCTCTTGATGTAAATTCTAATGTTCCTTCATGGGCTCTTCTTTCATCATGAACAAAAGGTTTATGTATACCTGCGCCTGTACGGAAACGATAAGCTAACCCATAATCAACTAAATAAGCTTGAAACTTTTTTGTAGTAATATCTTCTTCGCTTAAAGATAACAAAATATTTGACCCTTTAACATCTGCATGAGCATATCCTTGACTGTGAATATATTCAAGTGCATCCAACTACATAAATGCAAAAAAAATTATAAAATTAAGAGACTATAAAGATAAAAAAAAATACAAATTTTTTAATTTTTAAATTGTATTTCTTTAATCAAATTTTTAAGTTTATTATTTTTGTAATTACATACCATTTGAACAGTTAGCCTGTTAACAAGTTTAATTGGTAATTTTTTCCCATTTGATATAAACAATTTTCCAATATCAATGCCATATCTTGGAATGACTAAGAATCTATATTTCTGTCCTTGATATATGTGAGAACCTGATCCTTCATATGTTGGAACACCTATTCGTCTTTTTCCTTGTGACTTGCACCAAGTATCAACTGAAATTTATAGTAATAATGTAACTATAAAATGTAAATTATATATATCACATATAATTAAATTACTTACTCATATGTTTTCGAGCTGCTCTTATATAAAAATTCATTTCAACAAAAAGTGGTCCATTATTATGTGGTTCAATTTTTATTACATATTTTGCATCTTGTTCAATTGGTGCATTAATGTCATTTGATGCTATAATAAAAGTTTTAAAAATTAAATATTAATAATAAAAGTTATTTTTTATTTAAAATACAAATAACATACTTTTGTGAAAATAAAAATATATTTGGGATAATTTTGTTTTAAGTAAATTTTGTATTATATTAATGTTTTAAAAGTAATTTGATAAAATATATAAATGTTTATCTTTTTATCTAATAGTATTGGTATTTTAAATTAAGGGAAAAGGTATTTCAATAAAGAAAAATACCTAAATATATATCACCAAATCCACCATATCCTATTGTGTGTCCTAATTTCCATTTTTTTTGAGTAATATCTGTCAGTATTTCACCAGCTGGTAATTGATTAGGTAATTTGCAACCTAATGCTGCCACTCTTTTAACAGGTATTTCTTCAACTCGTCTCGGTGCCATTATCACTATATATTTATTTATACAAAATGCAATACTCCATTAACTTGTACATTACACTACAATCAAAATATTAACTATTTATTGTAAATAAAAGTTTGTATACATTTTCAAATTATGCTATAGAATTTATAGCCACTTATGAAACTAAGCTTATTTTCATTACATACTTTATATATAAATTTGAAAGAACACATACATAAATAAAATTATTAAAAACATTGTTAGTATCTGATATTTCATATAAAAACTTTCTATATAAGATTATATAAATAATTAATCCAAAATTTACTTTTTACATAAGGATTAAAATATTAATATTTTTGACTTATGTTTAAATTTTATTTTCTTATAAGTATAATAATAAAAGTATTGAGAAGAAATATTAAAAATAGGTATACATTTATTAAATTTAATATATAAATATGTAATTCAATTATGTATAAACATAAAAATCAATAATTATGTAAAAGAAAATTATATAAAATTTATGTATTGAAATATATAAAAAAAAGAGATTTCATTATATATTATGACATTATGAACAATTGGAAAAACTTTAAACTTTTAATTTATAATATTAATATATTCAAGTAATACATTCATATTAGTAATATAACCTATATTATAAACACTTTTGTTTCATATTTTAAATTTAATTATATCGTAATTTATTTATTTATTTCTTTAATTAAATTAGATAATATTTTAGTAGACACATTGCTATATAATAATTAAGTATTAAGATTACAATATAAAATGATAAAAAAGAAAAATGTGTATTCTATGTTAATGTGTAATCGCCGCTTTAATGCAACAGAAAATGCATTATTTAAATACTAGTTAATAAGGTTATTTAATAAATATAAATTATGTAAATATTAATGTAAAAATTATTATCATATCTTAAAACAGTTAGCCTGTTAACAAGTTTAATTGGTAATTTTTTCCCATTTGATATAAACAATTTTCCAATATCAATGCCATATCTTGGAATGACTAAGAATCTATATTTCTGTCCTTGATATATGTGAGAACCTGATCCTTCATATGTTGGAACACCTATTCGTCTTTTTCCTTGTGACTTGCACCAAGTATCAACTGAAATTTATAGTAATAATGTAACTATAAAATGTAAATTATATATATCACATATAATTAAATTACTTACTCATATGTTTTCGAGCTGCTCTTATATAAAAATTCATTTCAACAAAAAGTGGTCCATTATTATGTGGTTCAATTTTTATTACATATTTTGCATCTTGTTCAATTGGTGCATTAATGTCATTTGATGCTATAATAAAAGTTTTAAAAATTAAATATTAATAATAAAAGTTATTTTTTATTTAAAATACAAATAACATACTTTTGTGAAAATAAAAATATATTTGGGATAATTTTGTTTTAAGTAAATTTTGTATTATATTAATGTTTTAAAAGTAATTTGATAAAATATATAAATGTTTATCTTTTTATCTAATAGTATTGGTATTTTAAATTAAGGGAAAAGGTATTTCAATAAAGAAAAATACCTAAATATATATCACCAAATCCACCATATCCTATTGTGTGTCCTAATTTCCATTTTTTTTGAGTAATATCTGTCAGTATTTCACCAGCTGGTAATTGATTAGGTAATTTGCAACCTAATGCTGCCACTCTTTTAACAGGTATTTCTTCAACTCGTCTCGGTGCCATTATCACTATATATTTATTTATACAAAATGCAATACTCCATTAACTTGTACATTACACTACAATCAAAATATTAACTATTTATTGTAAATAAAAGTTTGTATACATTTTCAAATTATGCTATAGAATTTATAGCCACTTATGAAACTAAGCTTATTTTCATTACATACTTTATATATAAATTTGAAAGAACACATACATAAATAAAATTATTAAAAACATTGTTAGTATCTGATATTTCATATAAAAACTTTCTATATAAGATTATATAAATAATTAATCCAAAATTTACTTTTTACATAAGGATTAAAATATTAATATTTTTGACTTATGTTTAAATTTTATTTTCTTATAAGTATAATAATAAAAGTATTGAGAAGAAATATTAAAAATAGGTATACATTTATTAAATTTAATATATAAATATGTAATTCAATTATGTATAAACATAAAAATCAATAATTATTTAAAAGAAAATTATATAAAATTTATGTATTGAAATATATAAAAAAAAGAGATTTCATTATATATTATGACATTATGAACAATTGGAAAAACTTTAAACTTTTAATTTATAATATTAATATATTCAAGTAATACATTCATATTAGTAATATAACCTATATTATAAACACTTTTGTTTCATATTTTAAATTTAATTATATCGTAATTTATTTATTTATTTCTTTAATTAAATTAGATAATATTTTAGTAGACACATTGCTATATAATAATTAAGTATTAAGATTACAATATAAAATGATAAAAAAGAAAAATGTGTATTCTATGTTAATGTGTAATCGCCGCTTTAATGCAACAGAAAATGCATTATTTAAATACTAGTTAATAAGGTTATTTAATAAATATAAATTATGTAAATATTAATGTAAAAATTATTATCATATCTTATATTTTTCCAAAAATTCACATGTAATTCACTATTTTGTTTTACAGAATAATATTGCTTTTTATTCGTGTAAATTAGACTAAAAAATCTAATTTTATGGATTTCATGTCCAACTGTCAACCAAAATAGTTATCTAGTAATAAAAAACACAGAATACTGTTTCATTTTAGTTCATATACCTCAAAAGACGAATTAGAGGACATTGCATACAGTTGTTTTAATTGCTTGGCACATCGGAATCTTCAATAATTTAAAGTATTTCTTTTTGTGTTTTGGAACTCTAATTATCCCCCGAAAAGATTTCACCCAACGTAAGAATGTACCACACTGCCATTTCATGAACTAAGGAGTTTAACGGAAACCGATCAACTGAAGAGGGCGTCCTTAAATTTACATTTTTTTGACCAAGTATTTAAATATCACTAAAATTGGCAATTAGAAATTATTTATGTTATTTTGTAGCTGTATTTTAAATTTATAAGATATTAAGTGCAACAAAAATTATAAAACAATGTCATACTTTTAATATTTCATTATATTATGTGATTTGTTATTCTTATATAATATATTCATTTTTATTAGCAACTTTCTTTGAGATATGTAATTTACTATTATACTTAATTTTAAACGATTATTTCATGGAAATCCACCAACAAATTGCGATAACAGCGCGCTCTATTTAGGTGCGTAAGATTATTAACTTAACCAAAAATAACTAATGACAGATCGGTTAACAATAAAAAATAAAAGAACATGCGGATACATGCTTTGAAATGCTTCTGACAAACGAATTACATAGAACCTCTAAGAATAATATATATTAATTATAATAATATTATGTAGAACTGTTAGGAATATTGATGGTGTTATAAAAATTAAAGATATTTCTTGTTCATCTTTATTAAACTTTATTTATTATTAATTATTGATTACTGTAATTAGTTGGTGTTAGCTTTTTATGCAAATAATTTTTTTGTAAAGAACACAAAATTTCTAACAGCCAAGTACATTACATAAATATAAAATGAATTATAAGGACTTAATAAATTTTTATACAGTTTTTCAAACGGACTTTTTTTTAGCATAAGCACATTGTTACTTTTAGCATTTATAAATTTTTGACGATTATTGAGTATCAGACTTTTATATCGATTTTTATTTTAATGGAAAGAAATTAAAATGTTATAACTGTTTTCATATAAATATATTTCTTTAAATATTTAACAATACTGCTGCAACGTTTGTGTAAATATTTTTTACGTTCTAATGTAGATATTTTCCAAATAGACTTTATTATAAAAACTTAACAAAGGGAGTAGTAACAAAAAAAAGAATTATATTATAATTCTAAATATTTAAAAAATATGTGAATAGTATTGTGTAGAAAAATTATATAACATAACTGACATAATTATAATGTAATTTAATGTATAAATAAACTGGTTACTCTAATGTTACTCTTTCTAAACATAGATTTATTTAATCACTTTTCAAAGATTTTTATATAACAAAATATTTAAATAAATGTTTGAATTAAAATTAAATATTCTTTTATTAGAAACGATATAATTGTATATAATCTGTTATTTAACATTAATATCTATTGTATCAATATAGTTTGACAAGAATTCAAGAAATTAAAGGCAAAAGCGAAATAGATATATAATATATAGAGTACGAGTATTTTATGATAGGTTTTTGAACGTACGGGAAATGTACCATCAACCATAGCCTTCTAGAAGCAATCAGCGCATGAAGCCGTAATGGACGAAAAGAAGTGATTACTATCTGACGGATTGTGAAAGTGGAAGTTTCAGTTCGTGTGTTTATTATAATATTTCCTTAGTCTTAGAGTCCTAATAAAATGACGTAAATAGTTTTTAAATGATGGTTGATGCTTTATTTGTATTTTCAAATATATTATGTAAGTACGGGATTAATCCTTTGTTGAGATCATTTAATGGTTAGAATACTAAAGCATCCATTAGTGTCTTGTCTGATATCTATAGCTATTACCAAAAACATGTTTTTATATATTAAACTTATATATTCAATAATGTTAATGCAAAGTTCAAATATTTGTTTTCTAATGTTAATAAATATAATATTAACTTGTTCTTTGCATTTAACTATATCTCAAAAAAGTGTGCTTAAGTGTGTTATTTATTAAAGGTTATTTAATGACAATTTTAAAAACATTTTATGTACAATTTTTATTTTGCAAGTATAGTATGAATAAAACATATATGTTCTTATAACTATATAATATAATGTACAGATAGTATAATTTATAATTATAGAGTTTTATTACAAATTTACTAAAGTTTCAGTTTTTGTTTTTTCCATCATTTTATAATTGTAAGTATAGGTTAAAAATGAGTACAGAAAATATTTAATATTTTAATCAAGATCTTTTATGCATTTTGTTATACAATAAAATTTTAAGGAAATTTGTTTTTTATATTTATTGTCTTTAGGTCTATTAGATTAATGTATTATATATTTCAGTGAGGACACTGCCATAATATTATTTAAAGTAAGAAATGTCTTACCCTGGTCAACCTCCAATGGGAATACCAGGCATGCCACCAATGCCTTACATGGTTGGTGCACCTCCACCAATTATTGGTGGTGTAATGCCTATGGCACATGTAAGTAAATATAAAATTAAATATTCTAGTATTTTAGCATGTTTGTCTCTTTGTGTGGTATTGGTAAACTTATATTTTTTTGTTAGAATTTTCTACACTTGCAAAATGATTTTAATCAAATAACTAATTATTTTCTTTTGTTTTGTAATTATAATTTTAATATGAAATAACTGTGAAGATATAAAATTCTTTTATGTATAGTGTATAAAAAAAATATATATATTAAGTATTTGTCAAAAGTTAATCTCTTTTATTTATTCCAAATAATTATAATTTTATATGTAACTAAAAGTCCATTCATTTGTAATCACTTAATTACTTTATATAACTTTATTGCCATCTAAATTAAAGATAAACTGTCATCTATTCAAGTGCCAGAAGTATTTAGTAATAAATATTTTTATTTATATTAAAAAATAAAAGCAAAATGCATGTAATGTTTGATTTTATTTCCTGCAAATAAATTAACATGTTAAACAGTAGGTAATATGAAATGATCATATAGTTTTATATTTTTAAATGTTATTAATTATATCATAATTACAACTTTCTCTATATGCTAATACACTTGTTCTGTGTTAATGTATTAATATTTTTTGTTAAATGGAATGCACATTATTTAATTATTTATGCTGTAGACTAATTGTATGGGTACAATCATAATTTTCTAAGATTATAGTTTCTGATACAGATTTTCATTTTAAGTATTTTATATTTAATATATGCATGTTTTGGTTTCGTAATAAAAGATAATAAAAGAAGAAAGATTAATGTGCTATTAGGGGGAGGGGAGATTCTGGTTTGCATGAGTAGAGATGTGCATTATTAAGAATACTACCATTTATAAAACATAGATGATTCCAACACCCGTATCTGCGATGCAGACCTCAGCTCCAGCTGTTCGGTATGCACGTAATCAAAATCGTCATGACAATAATCGTCGTCGCGAGAGAGAATCTGGTCCACCAGTTACTGTATTTATTGGTAACATTATGGAAAGAGCACCTGATGTGATGATTCGACATATTTTGGGAGCCTGTGGCCATGTCCTTTCATGGAAGAGAGTACAAGCATTTGGATTTTGTGAATATGCAGGTCCAGATGCTGGTCTTAGAGCAGTTAGATTACTTCATGATATGGAAATAGGTACAAAAAAGCTTGTTGTCAAGGTTGATGCAAAAGCTAAAGTTGTTTTGGATCAGTTTAAAGGTAAATGTAAAATATGTAGAATATTTATGTAGATATATGTTGATAACTTATTTTATTTTGTTACTTTTGTATGTATTATAGCGGAAAGAAGGAAAAAATTAAGAGGTGGCCAGTCACCTTTACAGGATGAAACATCAATTGAAGGGGCAGAGGGAGAAGAAGGTGAAGATTACATGGATGAGGGTATGAGAGTAGTGGATGCAGATGCATTAGCACGTATTAATCAAATCATAGCTGAACATGCAGCTGATCTAGAAATGGCTCAAGCTGCTCCTGGTAGTACACTAATTCTACTCCTGGCAGAATATTAAATTAATTTCACATATTAACAAATGTTATTTTATAATATGTTCTAGAGGAACATCAAACGAAAATGGTTGCAAAATCTTTGAACTTGGATGATGCAGAAATAGAAGAAAGTAAAAGAGACTTGATTACCAGAGAAATTGGAAAATTCAGGGAGGTTATGAAGGTAATTATTTTTACAATTATTTTTAAAAGACCTGTTATGTCATTCCTACTTTTCTGCCCTTCTTTTTGGTCATATTATCGGATATGATATACCAAAATATTAGAAGGTATCAAAAATTGTGGTCTAATAAGATTGGGTAAAAAATTTGCAAAAATTTAGGTATATGGATATTAACAATTCTATAAAATTGTTAGTGTTGATTATGTGAATTTTTTACGAAGAATTATAAACATTATTCTATAAGATACTGTAGTTTTTTCTAAAAGATTGTTTTATGCTATTTTAATGGGTAAATAATGTTTGTCACGTGTATTTTTGTGCATATGATATGCAACACATTATTTTTTAAATTTTTTCTACGAAAAAAAAGAAATTTCTTTTTTGAGCAAAATTTTGGCTGCAATATATTATATTTTTGAAATCCTCTTACTTCTCCTGCATTTGTTTAATATTTCAGTATTAATAAAGAGATCATTTGATGTTTTTGTTTCATATAAATGTGATTAAGAATATGTTTGTAATACTTTGTAGTATTTATGCTACTATCTTCAGAAAACATTATATTAAATTTTTCTTTTTCGTTTTTCAAATAAAGAATTGAAATGGAATATTTTATAGATGGAGAGAAATAGCAATATATTAAAACATTGTTATTTTAAAACCTGAATAAAAAAGAGTTTTATACAGTATTTTCAAATTATAGTCAGTTAAAACTTGTACTAAGTTTAACAAGTTATAACACTTTTTGATTCTATCAATGATTAAATTCATAAAGTACTTAATTCATTTTTGGATGGTTGTATTTTTATTGACTTATAATTGGTAAAATTTATACGTGATAAATGTTCAGATGTTTTTACAATTCAAATAATATAATGATTGTAAATATTATGGGCTTCTAAATGTTTTATGCATATTTATGATTCACATTAGAAAATTGTTGATTGAAATCGCAGCATATCTATATAAAAGATTAAATACATTTGGG